AAATGAAAATTAGAGTTACTCAAATCTAACTGAAAATGGTATAGTCGGTGATCAGGATCATATGCACGAAGTTCTTATAGCCGAGCCTCTTTGAAGCGACGAAAGTTGTTTTCCTTTAATACCATGAGCACGGAATACTGTTACATTTTGCATTCCTGGGCAATTTGCTTTGTGGTCGTCTGAGCACTTCAATGTGGATGTCCCTTGCGTTCCCGTAGATTTGAATTTATTGAATTCCTTTGCCGTCAGTGAAAGTTCTTCCTTGTTCCCGTAGTACATCGCAATCAGCGCCAAACGATCGTCGATCGACAGACGACGAGTACGTGAGCAAGCCATGATAACAACCAGTGTAATTACCGTCTGTTCTTAATCCTGTTCTTATATACCACACTAAATTGCCGTTATCCCAAGTAGAAGTACATCACTTAAACACAGTAAGGGGTGCGTTAGACCCTGGTTGCCATACAAGCAGCATCACAGAAAACATATTGAACAACTTTTATAAAATAAATGTGCATTTTTCCACAATATTTGTTCTTTCTTTCTTTCTTTCTGAATTCTATCTCCAACATAGTTGGCGAGATCGTAGAACGCGAAAACAGCCAGTTGGGAAACAGAAAAGAAGACTTTTGCGTGGACCTACGTAAGCGGATATTGTTGTCCGTTATTAGAGAAGTTCAAAGTTTTATTATGATTATCTGTTTACCGAACCCGCTTCGAAAAATAGTGCGTGTATCACAGACGAGTCGGGCGTTGACCCAGTGTCATAGTCGCTTGAGCATTTTCCATTCCAAATTTCCCGCATGGCGCACCGCTCCACAACTGATTCTCTTGTGGTTCTCTTGTGATTCTCTATCAATATCTAAGCAGCATCGGATTCGGAACCTATCCTCCTCCTGTGTCGGCCAGAAAATCACACGATCGATCGACCGGTCGGATAGTTCAGCCGCAGTAAGGGACCTGGTGCTTGCCCAGCTAACCCAAGCGAGAAACCACACTTGACTGATATGATAATCTATTGTGTGCGAATAAACATCTGCTTGATAGGTATGCAAGAAACGTGATTGGACTAAAACACTGAGGATATGTTGGTACATATAGCATGGTCCAAGGAGTTTTCAGCATGACAGTGAAAGACGTAGGAAGGAGACCGGAGGTGGGTTATAACCTGCGTCAACTCCACTTAGTGCCGCAAGTCTGAAACTCTTCCTGTCCTTGTTCTCGATTGTTAATTTGAATGCATTCTAGTTTCCAGTCGGCCCAGTTTTTTTCCTTTTCTAGCACTTCTGTTCTTCCAGATGTATCCCACACCACAACCAGATCTAAAAACATTTAGTGCAATTCAATATTATGCTCTTTTGTATATAGATACCCACAATGACAACTGTGTCTCAGTGTCATATTCAAGCAAAACGTTTGAAAACATATTAGTATTGAAAAAATTAAGGTTGCATGGTTTAAAATTCGACTGAATTCCATCCCATCCAAAGCAAAACAACAATACTGCAAATAATAGGGCAAAAGATAAAATCTGGTCTACCGGAGAGATCGCCAATTTCCTTTAATGTTACCTACAAACTGGAGCAATAACCACGCCCGATGCTTTCCATTGATTGCATTTACGGAAAGGTCACGTGAACTGAAATCCAAGAAAACGAATGCTTTGGTACAAGAAGTTGCTGTATCTGTGGCAAATCGTGGAACAAATGAATGTTTTCCCCGCTATTTTTTTATCTTATTTATACAAAGGTATATTTAAAAGTGTTCAAATAGAAAAAATAAGAGAATCAAAAGACAGTTGATTCGAGAGTAGGGAAAGGAACGAACAACTGGAGTAGACTGAGCAGATTCAAACATGCAACACCATCATGAGCAAGGGATAGTGTTCAACTTCGTCACACGTCTCAACGCGTGAAAAAAGGAGGCAGAAGGAAGAATAAAATGAACAAAAGTCAAATTTACAGGTTCTTTGATAAATATATCACAAAACTGTCTGTGCAATTATCCTCAGTATAAACGTACGAGCCTCTACTAGTACGGAATAGCTATCTTATCCGTACCCAGCTCAATTGTTTCGGTTGGTTCTTTCACCCCGAGAGATAATCACATAGGCACAAATACATAAAAAGTGGAACGCATTCGATTACTGTACACACGGTGCAACGAAGGTGATCCCAACCTCGATGTTTGTGACGGAACTCTTGGGTTTGGGGTGTGAAAGTGTGTGTGTGTGTGTGTGTGATTGAAATGCAATCAGAAGAGATAAAATTATCCTAGCACTGATGAGTGCTGTCGTAAGTTGCGTCATCCTCAACCTGACTATCCAATAGTTTAGCTATTTCGTGTTCATTCGTCAGTTCAGATGTTCCCAGAGTTCCCGTCTGGTTTGTGTGTTGCAGTTGTTCACGCTGCTGCTGCGGTTGTTGTTCCCGGTGTTGCTGTCCGCGCATCAGATACGCAGTGACGGCACTCATTAACACCGCCAAGCACAGCATGATCCATAATCCAACAACCATTGCTGTTCGAGCGGACCGAAGTGATTTGCAATTCTAAAATGAAGTAGAAAAAATCGTTAGATGTCAGACACAAGGTGTTGCTGTTATTGTTGTTGCTGTTGTTATTGTTGGTGGTGGTATTGGCGGCGGTGGTAGTGGTGGCCAAGTGATTAAAGATACTGTCAGTGGCATGCCCTGAAACCTAAAGTCTGGGATTCGAGCTCTGCCACGGCCATCCAGCTTTAGTGTAGGGCAGTTCATCTGTCGTCTGATTCACTACCACATCTATTCAATTTAGACTTTAGCTAGTTCCTGCTCCTTGTGTAGAGTATAGATGGTTGTCTAAAATAATGCAATATGAGGTCCTCGTGTCTAGTGGACTTACCCACCTACTGATTGAAACACTATGATGTTTGTCATATCATACTGAAATATAAGCAAATTGCTTGTATACGTTGACAAAATTTTGAAAATCGGTTCTCGTAGCTCGGGTGAACTGAATTCCATTTCGCCTGTTCGCCGAGCTTGGCAATTTGTTTGCAAACGTTTCATGCGAAGTGGCCACTTCACAAGCACTGATGATGTCACCTCGGCTGGTGGTGAAACGTTTGCAAACAAATTGCCAAGCTCGGCGAACAGGCGAAATGGAATGCTTGTACACGTCTCACTTATAAAATGAGAATATGGACGTTATTCGGAAATGAACAATTTCAACGATGCTATAGAATGATTAGTTCCTCCAAACTGTGAGCCTTACATAAGAACGTATTTCATTTATGTCAACATACGTCCAATGTGTTGGTCGTTGACCGTATAGCTCAGGGACAAGGATTCAGGCACCCAACCCGAAGACTAGAGGTTTTTGTATGGATAGCAGCACGAAAAAAGTACAAATCGCGGTTGAGTTTAAATAAAACTGAATTATGAGCTCCAGTGCTGGCAAAAGTTATACACAATACAATACAATGATTAAATAGCTATCTGATCGTCTTCGGTGACCTTTGTACTAGACAAGACAAGAAAATACCTCCATTCGGCGGTTTGAGTAAGCAACGTGCAGTTACTGGCGGTTACGAACTGTTCGGAGTAGTGTGATTGGTTGAGACGCTCCATTTTCGGCAAGCATCTTGGCCTCGTCTGAGAGGTCAGTATGACGCTTCGGATCGTCCGAGTCACGTTGTGACTAGGTCAATGGAAACGAATGTAGTGGCGTGTAATCACGTCTTCTGTTTTAGCAGACGATGACTTACAACTGTAGCTTCTTCTATCTCATCTTTTATTGTACTTCCTTCTATTGAATATATAATGATACATTTTTCAGGGAGGGGGGAGCGGTCAGTCAAAAGGCTGTCAATCCATTTGAAGGTATGTTATCGACCCGTTTGCATGCCAACATTGTTGTGATGGAATAAGTTATTAAAAATAAGCTTGTTTGTGATTGCAGTCTCGAAATATTCTGCAATCAATACAGGACAGGAGAGATTTCCAGACAGTGTGTGACCACTAATCGAACGAGATAACCGTGTGAGTTATTGTGAGATATAAAATAAACAAGCGTACTTACGGATCAACCGGCCAATTAGGAGTGAATAACTTGATGACCCGGTGAGATTGTGAGAGTGTTTGGTTGGGTTTTTCTGTGACTGATCGACTCAACACGCATCCAATCCGGTTCGCTTAGCAAACAGCCTATCGTTTATCGATCATCCGGGCATTCCATCTAGACGGTAAAAATCCGATTTCGGTTAAACGAGCAGTTCAATGATTCCAATCCAAGCCTGTATTCGTTGGGCTACCGGAACGGAATACGTCTTATCTGTGCAGCAACACCTTAGTAGGAATGCAACTTCTGATTGTAGGATCTATAATCACGAGCGATCGGCTTGTTTTCTGCCCCTCAGTTTATTATTCAATTCCATGTCGTACGGCGAACTTCTCTGAAAAATTCGTTTTTGTTGATTGCTATTGTGAGCGTCAGTTCAATGAATTGACGGTGCTTTGCTCCACACATCACTGTCAGTGCGGTGTAACATTGACTTTAAATGCTTTTCAGAGTGTTTAACAACACTATGAGAAAATGTCATAACTCCGATAGGATTTCAGATGGAATTTGGAGGTGCGTGCTGTTCGTGAATAGATTTAGAGCAGGTTAGACCGGATGCTGGTGCTTTACAAATCGCCATCAGTTGGGGGTTTTTTAGTTGGAAAATGTGATCAGAAAGCAACAAAAATGGAAAGCCTCGAGGTCAGCGGGGCTAGGTTGACCGCATTCATGTGGATCACTTGAAATCACACTGAATTATCTGTGGTTTGTGTCCGTGTGTGCGTGTGCCTACGTGTGTCTCCATGTCTGAGTGGAGGCTGGTGCGTCATACTGCGCAATAACCGAGTGACCCGATCCTGCATCTTTACCCGCGATGAAGACTGTGATTGCGGGTTGCTAAGCATCGTCTGCGGGTACCGTTCCTCAGAGTGTCCTTACGGTACCAATTATTGAAAGACCTGATTGAAAAAAGCTTAATCGAAAAATAAAGAATGAACTAAAAATAAGTGATGAGCAAAATCCACTGATTTGACCAGAGCAAGTGCAAAAAAATCACGACCGGCTGCGAAGTCCACTCACTGAGACAGTTTGTTCGTAAAGATCCAAGAAAGTGCTAATCTCTTGGACCAACTCGTCTGCCGGATAATGATTAGACCATTTCTGACCATTTCTTCCCTTCGGGACGAGAGCAGAGAACAGCCATCCGGAAGCCATCAAATCGACCAAAGATCGACGAACAACTTGAGGAGAAATTGACTGATGCTTGTCTTCCGTAACCCGAATACACACGGAAACCACTTGACGACTGGGTGATTAAAAGTGCAGGGAAGTGAAATTAAGAGAAATAGTCGAATAGTTTTTTTTAAATAAGAAACACACGATACAATTTTTTCTTCAATCGGGGGACCAAAACGCATAAACGTTGGCATGATTTAGATCGGTTTACTAGATATCACTAACTATGTGAAGCCGTGCATCATGGAGTCGATCAACTTTTAACAACTTCCAGTGCGCCCAACAGACCTGACGAATAAGTGTTCTTGATGACGTTTGGAGCGAGCTAATGAAAGCCAATCTGGTTAGTGAAAACTGATGACACGTCAGACTAACAGGTCATCTTGCCCACCGGCCCGTACTTCAGTAAATATCACATAGATTCATTGTAGATGACCTGTTTCCTTATCTAGACATATCACATCGGTCGGCGATGACGTCATTTATGCCAGTTTATTACTCACAAGAGCAAAACATATCCGATCAATCCGGTTTTCACCTCGACGCTTCCGAGTGTTTCGAACTAATTTGCATTCTATTGTGATCTGTTTTCTCATTAACTTGGTCCTATCGCAAAAACATATCTATCATTATTTAGGAATCACTGCAAGTCCTTAATCAACGATGGTCTCCTCGTGTATCGGTAAATTACGTTGATTGTCCTTCCCTGATCCAAGTTGAAACCAGTTGGGATGAAATAATGAACTACTTTCTTGTTTGTCAATCACTGCACTTTTCCTGGCCTACTCAAAATGAATTTCATCACTTTTTGTCATGGCTTGGCAATGCTGTCACGTTTCTCTTTTGCCGATGAAGTCATAGTATTGTGTAATAATCACAAACCTTTGTAGGACATGCACGACTCCAACCATCGAATTAATTCAGAGATTGATATATCAGCCGTTACAATTCCACAAATTCAAATGTAATCGCTTAGCCTTCCGTGTATACATCTGTCTTTATTTAACGGTACCTGTTATCTCGCTGACAAGAACTGGGTCAAACATGAACTTGTGGTAACTCCACACAGATGAACTTTTCGCCCTTTTATGTGATTGTGAGAACATGCATGCATAGGCTAACAATTTTGCTTTTAAACACTTCACGTACATATCTGACCAGATGATATGAA